ACTAATCTGTTAGTGTTCTTTGAGGGGGTGAACAAACATGTGGACAAGGGGGATCCAATAGATATTGTTTACCTTGACTTCCAGAAAGCTTTTGATAAAGTTCCTCATCAAAGGCTCCTAAGCAAGCTCAAAAATCATGGGATAAAAGGACAAGTCCTTTTATGGATCAAAAACTGGCTAATTAATAGAAAACAGAGAGTGAGTATAAATGGGCAGTTCTCCCAGTGGAGGGGGGTAAGCAGTGGGGTACCACAGGGATCAGTACTTGGTCCACTGCTTTTTAACTTGTTCATTAATGATTTGGAGTTGGGAGTAAGCAGTGAAGTGGCTAAATTTGCGGATGATACAAAGTTGTTCAGGGTGGTGAAAACCAGTGAGGATTGTGAGGCACTCCAAAGGGATCTGTCAAAGATGGGCGAGTGGGCGTCAACATGGCAAATGGGGTTCAATGTGGCCAAGTGCAAGGTGATGCACATTGGAGCCAAAAATCCTAAATATAAATACACATTGATGGGGTCTGAACTGGCAGAGACAGATCAAGAGAGAGATCTTGGAGTTGTAGTAGATAACTCACTGAAAATGTCGAGACAGTGTGTGACTGCAATAAAGAAGGCCAATGCTATGCTGGGGATTATTAGGAAGGGTATTGAAAACAGATCAGCCAATATAATAATGCCCCTATATAAATCAATGGTGAGACCTCATTTGGAATACTGTGTGCAGTTCTGGGCACCACACCTTAAAAAGGATATTATAGCTTTGGAAAAAGTGCAGAAAAGGGCAACTCGAATGATAAAAGGGTTGGAACACTTTCCCTATGAGGAAAGGTTAATGCACTTAGGTCTCTTTAGCTTGGAGAAACGACGACTGAGGGGAGACATGATTGAGGTTTATAAGATAATGCATGGGATAGAGCAGGTAGAGAAAGAGGTACTTTTCTCCCTTTCTCACAATACAAGAACTCGTGGGCACTCCATGAAACTGCAGAGCGGTCGGGTTAGAACGGATAAAAGGAAGTACTTCTTCACCCAAAGAGTGATTAACACATGGAATTCACTGCCACAGGAAGTGGTGGGTGCTACAAGCATGGACGGCTTCAAAAGGGAATTAGATAAGCATATGGAGCAGAGGTCCATCAGTGGCTATTAGCCACAAGGTATAGCTAGGGGCTCTGGGGCAAGTGATGCTCTGTCTTCTTGGTGCTTGGGGGGGGGGTCAACAGTGGGAGGGCTTCTAATGTCCTGGCCCCACTGCTGGACCTCCTGATGGCACTGGTATTTCTGGCCACTGTGTGACACAGAGTGTTGGACTGGATGGGCCTTTGGCCTGATCCAACATTGGCGTCTCTTATGTTCTTATGTTCTTAACATAATGGGCTCTAGAAACCAAATTGACTACTATTATTTTATTAAACTGCATTCTTCAATCCACCTGCAGCCCCACTGGCTTCAGCTCAGTCTCATTGCTTGCGAGAGAGCCATCCATTTGGCTCATTAGCCCCAGGTGTTCCTCTTGATTTGGCAGTTGCCAGGCAGCGAGGCACACGCTCCGCCTCCTCCTGAGGAGCTCCAAGCGCGCCCTCCTCCTCCTGTGTTCCCCTGGCTCCGGGGAAAGGAGAGGCGAAGCAGCCTGTGAAGTCTCCCCAAGATCTTGGGTTGTTGAGGCGCTTCCTCTCCGGGTTGCCTCTTCCGTGTTCCCAGTGCTCATGGGGCTGGAGTATATGCTGACCTTAGCAACTGGGGCACTAGGACCTGCCATCCGGAACCTAAAAAGGTAAGTCAAACAGAACAGAGGGCCAACAATAAAAACTTAATGCATATAGTATAAAAAGATACCTGTATTTATTAACAAAGAATTAAAGAACATATAAGGGCCCAATCACACCTCATGTAAAAATACCAAAATCTAGCACACAAGGGCCAGTGGACTTGACCTGACGTGTTTCAGCCCGCTCTTTGCTTAAAGGACAGTTTTACTGAGGACACTTTGGCTAAACAATCATTGGAAGGTGCTTTCTGGACCAGAAATTGTTATCAGTGAAACATCATTTGGCATGTGATTGCATCTTTGGAGGCCTCATTTATACTTTTATTCTGTGCCTAGTGGTTTCACTTTGGAACAATTCTTTTCTGGTCCATCTTGTATCTATGTTGCTTAATTGTATGATTGTACTGTATTATGATATAAGCCAATATGCTCATCATTGTGTTTGACCTCTGAAGAAAGCCTATACAGGCTGAAATGCGTCAGGTCAAGTCCACTGGCCCTTGTGTGCTAGATTTTGGTATCTTTACATGAGGTGTGATTGGGCCCTTGTATGTTTTTTAATTCTTTGTTAATAAATACATGTATCTTTTTATACTATGTACATTAAGTTTTTATTGTTGGCCCTCCATTCTGTTTGAGTTACCTTTTTAGGTTCTGGATCCTAGGTGTCAGGGATAATCCCCCCCCCCTTTTTGGCACTAGGACCTGCCTCCACCATCTCAGGGTTGTTGACCGCATCAGCTGGTTGAGTCTCGGAGTTGCTAATGGGGATGTTATCAGCATCAGCTGAGTGATCCTCAGCTAAAGCAGGCTGGCGCAGGATACATTTTCGGGTCCCCCCAACTATGCACAAGTGGAGAGGAAGTGCATGAGCAAAAGTCCAAGCCCAAGGACTTTCTCCTTTGTTCTCCTCATAAGTAAACTGGATTTGTTAATGAACTATGAATACAGCCTATGTAAACTAATGTATCACAAGAAAAATGACCAGGTGCTGGTTTGTGTTCTTTAAATTCACATTACCCTTCTTGTCATGTGGTGGCAACTCATCTGTGCATTGTAGTCTGCAGCCAAAATGAAGCCATGCGCATACTGTACTATCTGAAAAGCTGGCATTGAGAAATGCCAAAAGAGTCACCCGCGGGGACCCTGCAAATGCAGGTTTCCAAGCTTAGTCAGCGGCTGCTGTGTTGAAATCCTTGGAATTCACTCCAGGGTCTTAAGCCCGAGAAAAGCAAGCCAGTTGTTCTGTGCATTAATAAATCAATGAGAGCTGGTGTGTTAAGCTCGTAAAAAAAGAGGGTGAACTAGGATTGTTTTACAGCAAGCACTTGCAGACAGCAAAAGCTGCATGTAGCTATTAGAGACTTTGCGAAATAACCGATTTCAGGCTGCCAAGCGCCAGCTCCTGATGCGGCGTTGGAGCTTTTGAAATGGAAAGAAAGAATGAATCCTTTTGAAGATCCCCTGGAATTTTTGTTGAAGCCTGCCTGAGGACAGAACATTACAGCAATTTAATTCATTACTCCACTTAAAGATTTCCCCCCAAATATATATATATATATATACACATCCATACACATATGGATGAAACGTTTATAAACCTCAGTGGGTGTTCAGCTTGCTGAATGGAGCAGGTCTCTTTGAAGGTTTGCTTTACAAGGTGCTCAGGGATGGTTTACAGCAGAGAAGGCCTATTGGATAAGCAAGGAGAAGAACAGACTGGCAATTGGACTGAGGGCTGGTGCTGATGACACAGCTTTGTGTGGGGTTCTTGCTGACAGAGGAGTTGGCTTGGTGATGTTGAAAACCTGCAATATAAAAACATACCAGGCAAAGTGGAAAGAAAATTTTAACAACAGAAGAAACCTGGAACGGGTACTAAAACCCTATCTCCACCCAGTTCAATTTCAAACAGTTAAGAGGTGTATTGTTTGCAGAAGATGCTCACACTTGGCCTTGGGAGGGACTTGCGGGGTGGGACGACACTTTTTCAGGTGAAAGGGAGCCACTAAAAATGTGCCTCTGCATGCCCGCTTGGCACAGGGTTGTTAAATCTGCCCATGGCCGTCTTTGAAGTACTGGCGGGAGTTGCAGGGCCCCAGCAGGAGAGGAGACGGGGCTGTCCCTGGCTGCCCTTGGATGGGTCACGTAGCTCTGTGACCAGTGTTCCCTCTAAGCTGAGTTGGTGTGAGCTAGCTCACAGTTTTTTAGCCTCCGGCTCACAGATTTTTGTCTTAGCTCAGGAAGGAGGGCTCCAGAGCAAACTAATTGATGCAGTAGCCAAATCACTCGCTCACAACTTTAATGCCAGTAGCTTACAAAGTAGAATTTCTGCTCACAAGACTCCACAGCTTAGAGGGAACATTGTGACAACCAGCCTTTTGGGGGGAGCGTGCTCCCAAAGTCACACCCCAGGGAAACAAAGTAGCACCCCTCGGATGCATACTGGAATATATCTCCCCACCCCCGTGCTGTACTGTGATTTTGCCTCTGAGCAGGTAAGGAAGAGCCTCTAAAGCAGATGTGATACAATAGCCCTGTTTGGTGTAGTGGTTAAGTGTGCAGACTCTAATCTGGAAGAACCAGGTTTGATTCCTCACTCCTCCACATGCAGCTGCCGGGTCACCTTACGGTAGGGGATTGTTCACGGGTCCCTCAAATGCTTACAGTACAGCTCTGTGGCATGACCCATGTAGATGGGCACAAGCCCTGATCATGTGAGCCTCGCTGGGATTGCTGTCATATTCCCACCTCCACCTTGGTAGCGAGTGTGAATTTCATATTCAGAATGCTGCACCAACCCATTTAGGGGGATGCCATATTATATTTTCCAGGTTCTTGTAGGATGTTGTGTAGGGCCTGTAAAACTGCTGTTTATTATTATTTTTTAAATCATTCTACTGCATTGGGTGCTTTTCTTCGGTCAAATTTTTAGGAGGTAGAGCAGTATACCATAGTATTAAATAAGTGAAAAATCCTGTCTTCCTTTGAAAACAGTTTCAGAATACTTGTGGATTCTCCATTCCCTTACCCTTTTTTAATATATATATATATATATA